TGTCTCTCACCTGTCTCTCTGCAGCGCTGATACTAGATCTGATGACGGTTGCTGGGATGCAGAAGTTGGTCAAACGTCGGGGACCGTGGGATTTCCCGCCAACCTTCTTTGACTACATTGCCATGGATATGTACTCGTTCCCAGCAGCCCACGCCAGTCGGGCCGTCATGGTGTCCAAGTTTCTGCTGAACCACCTGGTGCTGGCGGTGAGTGGCTTGCTGCTTCACAGATAACAAAGACTGGAACAGTTTACAATCCTGATCCAGGTGTGTCCGCCTCCTGTCCTCCAGGTGCCTCTGAGGATCCTACTCTGCCTGTGGGCCTTCCTGGTGGGCGTGTCTCGGGTGTTGCTGGGGAAACACCACCTGTCAGACGTAGGTTGCGGCTTTGCACTTGGCTTCCTGCACTTCAGCCTGGTGGAGTCGGTGTGGCTGGACTCGGCCACCTGCCAGACGCTCATCTCCATCGGCACGCTGGGCTGGACTCTGGTCTGACCTGGTCCAGACTGGTTCTGCTGCAGACTCGGGTCCGGCTTCGCTGGGTTTTTCTGCCCTCCATCAGCTCAGTGCTGCTGACAGGAGGCAGGGGCCATGTGGTCCCAACTGTGGAGGACCTGAGGAGGGCTCGTAGGAATGTTTGAGTCACAGGTACTGAAACAGGAAGTGTCTGCAGTCCCACGTCCTGTGGCGTTTTCTTTCTTGCCACCATCTCAGATTCTTCAGTAAAATTTTGTTGAAGTTTTTTTCATGTCAGAAACTGAGTTTGGACTTTCATTCTGCTAATGTCGAGTTTTATTTGAAGAACGTCCTCGGCTGTTTGAAGCTTCATAGTTTTTGCATTGTTCACTGAGAGTTCACAACAAAAGCTGAAGGTTGTTCCTCAGAGCTAAAGCTCAGGTGTTATACTGGCGCTACAGATTCTCTTTTCAGGGAAGTTTTCCCAAAACGATTGTGTTGACTGTCTCATCAAATCTCAGAAACTTCCGAACAGGTGCTGATTATGTATCTGAAAGTGTGAAGTGAAAACAAACCTCTCAGGTTCAGACTCCTTCAAACTCTTTTCTTTTCCTGATGAGTCGGCATCAGCTCGATAAGCGTTTGTCAGCATGGCGAATACCTACAGAAGCGTTCACAGAAATACGCCGCGACTGTAAGGCTGCCATCGTGTCCCAGAACAAGCAGCTAATGAGGGCAATATTTATCAAAGACATGAACTTTGACCTTAACCCCTAACAGCATCCACGTCTCTGTTTGCGCTGCTGTGGTTTAGCAGGTTTACAGTTTGTTTTCTCCACAAGAACAGGCCTGCCTGAGTCTTCCAGAAACGGTCCAATCAGAAGAACCTTAAAGGGGAGGAGCTAAATCAGCTTGTTTAGGACAAGGGATGAAGGGAGGGGCTGCCCCATGCCTAGTGTGCACTGTGACTCATGCAAAGCTGCTTTATTAGACTTCAAGAATAGATTTAAAGAATGGAAGTGAGCCCAACATCGCCTCCTCAGACAAACTTTTTATTAAAACAAAAAATTGTCCAAGTTTTTCTTCTGATCTAAACGCTGTTATCGGAGCGCCGTCTTTATGCAGATTATACCCTGAT